CTCATTCTGTTGAAGGTTGTGGATCACATCTCGGCAGCCTGTGATCCTTAAACCAGAAGGAACGCTTGTGCTGAAAGTAACTTTTAAAAGTAATCCATTACTTTACGGCTCCAGTCTTTTCCTATATGATGCAGTCACACTTTGCAGAAGTGAAAGTTCTTCCACGTTAATAACTGTTGCTGCACTTTTCCACTCAGAGCTTCTTCTTACGTAACACTTCTGGATGCAGGACTTCATTTTCTAGCTTCTGCTGCACGTCAGAGACCTGAACCTGCTTCCATCCAGCTGCTCATGACCACTTTCACTTTTGGTGCTTTAACAGGAACAAATGTGAATTCTTCCTCAAACAAATGAAAAGCTGAGTCAGTAGAAGACCTGGTCTGGCAGCACGTCGCTGTCGTCTCACCTTGGTTTCCCATCAGGCCACGCTCTGATCTCTTGTGTCCCTGGTAGCTACCTGACTCTGAGTGCTCGTTCCTGATGAAGCTTCTACGTCGTTCCTCCTCTCACGCTGCTAGACTTGGATTGAACCTCAGACCGATGCCGCCATGAAGAACCTGGGCTCCTCGTCCTCCACTGCTCTGTCTTCCTTCTTGCCCTGCCCTCCTCTCCAGCTGCCCCTCTTCCTGCCCCTCCAGCGGCTGCAGCCCGAGGCTACCGTCTGTGATCATATTCAGAGGATAATAAAGTTATCGGCCACCTTTAGAAGCAAAGCAATAAAAAAAAGCGATCAAACGGCCGCCGTCCCCTCCAGCGGCGCAGTGATGTCGTAAATTACAGAATATAAATGAAGATTAGAGCAGATAGGAAACCTTAAACATTAATACCTGCTGACGTGTTTATTTGTCTTTATTGGGGATTCTTTAGTCCTCATGGTGCGTTCAGGAACCAGTGGGAAACTCAAGCGTTGTTTCCATTTGCTGTTTTTCTCTCTTCAGAAAATCCATCCTGAAGGAAGAAAATCAAACAGAACCGATCATCTCTAGTGTGATTATCTGAAACAGACGAGAGGCTGAAGCAGCTGCAGGGTTTCTAGAGTTTAATGAGACGTATGATGCCGCCGCCGTCGTGCCCGTGTGACCCTAACACGCTTCAGACTAGAAAGCTAACATGTGCAGAAGACTCCTCGCTCTTCTTCCTGTTTTCTGCTCCCAGGCCGGGTTTGGACCTTCGCTGGTTCTAGAGGCGGATGGAAAAGCTGCTCATGCACCAGTTTCCAGTGGAAAAGTTTCCGTCCAGCGCGTCGGCGTCGGTAGACAGACCGTCGGTGTTCTGGTTCTGTTCAGTGAAACAGATGGACGTCTCCCTCGCATCCTGTAACGTGCTCTTATGTGTGTCATTGTCGGACTTTCAACAGAACCGAGCCACCGTCAGCGACTCTGTGTTGATTCTGTTTGAACGTTCTGTGGTAAAAATTAAAAAGTGAATCCAGAGACAGCTGCCAGGTCCAAACTGCAGGAGGCTGCAAGCTTTTTATATATTTAAGTTGGAGGAAAAAGCCTCCAGACGTCTAAATTGGTGTTCTGGTTCTGAATGAATCCTCATAAACCAGCACACAAGAGAAAATCTCTCATTATGTTTCAACCCAGCAGCGGGTTTTTCCTCCATGCCGGCGCTCGGCTGCCGTGTTAATCCTCGCTGACTTACAGGCAGCGCCACAGCCTCCTGCTTCACATTTGCATTTTGACATTTATGCTTATTTTTGCCGTCGAACACGTGATGAGCTCGTCGTATGATTTTCACTTTGCAGAGAAAACAGTCCCAAACATGTGACGTGTGCAGGTTTCCCATCAGCCCTTTGAAAGCAGGTGGTTTGGCGATCAGGTGCGGTCGTCATTACCCGTGAGCTGGATTCCCCCGAGGACAGGGCTGGACCGGGGATCAGCAGCCGGTTTCACCACAAGCTCCAATGTTCAAAACGTAGTCAAGTGGATGTTTAACCTCAGTGTTAGCCCTGCTGAGAAAACACCACCGTGCTAATGTGCTAATTATTTAGCAACGAGGCAAATAGGTGATGTGGTGTATGGACTGCATCTGTCTCCTAGCAACCTGTGCACACCTCCCTGTACGTGTTGTAATCTGATTACACAAATTACTGCTTTAAAACTAGCCGAGGAAATCGTATGACATCGTCTACATAAGCGGGGACGTTCTGCTCAGTCGTCGCCGGCTTGTGGACGTTCGCTCATCAGCTGGTCGTGTTTAATCAAAGCAGCCGAGAGCAGATGTTTGTGGACGAAGCTCCAAGGTCCATACAGAGGAGGAGAACCAGGGCGGAGTCTCCGTTTATAGCTTTTATTATTGGCATCATGCAACAAAGACGGGTCTGAAAGTTTAAATCTATATAAGATATGTTATGCACATGCAGTTTGTGTAAAGAGGTCCGATGGGGCGGTCGCACAGAGATGGATCGGGTCACGTGGTTCTAAACAGTTTATTGCGCCTCATCCCTTCAGTTTCCGTCAGTACCAGACCAGCTGGGTCGTGTGTTTCTAGTGTCTGATGGTGGTTCGACGTCACCCTGCATCCTCCCCTCGCTGGATCTCAGACGTTAAGTTTCTGGTCCAAGTTCTGTGATACACTCTGACTGTGAATCTATGCTAGTCAGTGCATAACAGAACTTTGCTCCGGCGCTGCAGACTCTCCACCCGGTCGGCCGGCCGGACAGACGGATGAGTGAGTGAAGTGGGCGTAGCGGGAATGGAAACTGTCTCCGATATAAACATGTGATCATTTCCACATCTGGAAAACTGAACCCAGATGAAGAACCAGGAATGAAGCGAGCCAGTACAGAAGAGACTGTGGAAGCAGCCAGAACCAGGACTTGGGCTGGGCTGCGTCTGTGTGTGTTTGGACCGGAGTGGATATAAATCTGGGTGTAGCTGGAAAAACAGGCTCTGTCCTGATAATGAAGGCTGATATCAGACTGTGGGCAGGTGTGGGAGGCCTGGAGGAGGCTCTAACGGTCCTGAATGCGTCCCCGAGGCGACCACGCTGAAATATTTAACCTGTTCTTTCTGTTTGCTGTTGCAGGAACCTTCCCTCTACACCGTAAAGGCTGTTTTTATTCTCGACAATGACGGAAACAGGCTTCTGTCGAAGGTGAGTTTAAAGTAAATGAACGTAATCCTCTTCTATCGTTTAATGTGTTGGCTTTAAACCAGCTCCAGTTTGGTGATCATCAATCCATCACACGTTCTGTCAAAGCCTTCGTTTGTGAAGTCGATCGGAGGACGTCCATGCAGCTGGTGCAACATGTCTGGAATTCCTCTCATAGAACTCGTTCAGCATTTTGGAAAATACGTCTCATGTTGGTGGACAAACACGAAGCTGCTAGCAGCAGCCGGTTAGCTTAGCACAAACACTGAACACGGGTGGAAACAGCTAGCGTCCGTCGCTTCAACCTTAAAGAACACTTGATTGATTTAACGTCGAGTTACTGCGACAGATTCTCGATGGACAGATGACGGAGAACTTTGACCTGCAACACTTGGATCAGGTTTATTTTGCTCCTAGTGGCTAAAATCTAATTACGAGCCGTAGCGCTGGACGACCTGCTGCGTTTCCTGCTGATCCCTCGTGTTTGGGAAGTTAGTCTGTCATCAGACTCCACCGTGAACAATGAAGCTAGTTTACTGGAGCCTGAACGTGTTGGATTAGAACCGACAAGCAGGTGGTGGGCGAATATTCGGATCTCAGAATCGCTATCCAGACACCACCACAGCGACCGAATACTCCGACATCCGGGTCCAGCCTGCTGTGTCGGTCGATGCATTCGCCTCCTCCTCGGTCGCCGCCATGTTTGTCGCTCCGTGTGCATTGGACTGGACCAAAACAACGGCGCTGCGCGTTACACTCACATTTTATCGCGATATTTCAGTTTCATATCCTCCCCTAGCACAACGCCGGTGTTACCGTGCAACCTGATTTACAACTAGCCGAACGAATCATCTGATCACGTGACCCCTTTAGTTGCTCTTCTGGTGCTTTCAGTCACCTGACATGATCCTGATCTTCACATTTTAAACAGTTATTTGTCCCACTGAGCCCATTTGTACTCTGTATTCAGCGCTAATTAGCGAAGGCTAGCATGCTGCTACGTTACATTAGGATGCTGCACGTCGTGTCCACCCTCATGCACGAGGAGGCGGACGGATCGTTACTGGATGTGGATAATTAACGGCTGATGGTTTCTGTGTTTCAGTACTACGACCCGGAGCTCTACCCGTCCATGAAGGAGCAGAAGAACTTTGAGAGGAACGTCTTCAACAAGACGCACAAAGCCGACAGTAGGTCCTGCTCTGTTTGCTGGTGTGTGTGTGTGTGTGTGTTGTTGTGTGTGTGTTGTCCTCCGTGTGTGTGTGTGTTGTGTGTGTGTGTTGTGTGTGTTGTTGTCCTCCCGTGTGTGTTGTGTGTGTTGTCCTCCCGTGTGTGTTGTGTGCGTGTGTGTGTGTGTGTTGTTGTCCTCCTCCCGTGTGTGTGTGTGTGTGTGTGTGTGTGTGTGTGTTGTGTGTGTTGTGTGTGTTGTGTGTGTTGTGTGTGTTGTGTGTGTTGTGTGTGTGTGTTGTTGTCCTCCCGTGTCCCATGTGTGTTGTGTGTGTGTTGTCCTCCTGTGTGTTGTGTGTGTGTGTGTGTGTGTGTGTGTGTGTGTGTGTGTTGTGTGTGTGTGTTCTCCTCCCGTGTGTGTTGTGTTGAACGCTCACACACGTCTCCAGTGTCGGCTGCTGCTCATTCTGCTGCCACCCGTAGCCTGAAGCTCTTTCTGCGTTCTCCTGGTTTCCACCAAACCGAGTGTTCGTGACAACGCGACCGCCGTAAATCTGGCGACGCTGGGATTGTCTGAACCAGACAGAAACCCGACCGACGTGTTCTGCTGCTGTTTTTGTGGGATTTTAAGTTTCACTCAGCCGATACCTGAGTCTCTGCCCCCGGCCTCCTCGCCACCCAGCCGCTGTCCCTCCTTTTGTCCTAAACTCCTCCTTCATTCCTCTTCTTCTCCACTTCTTTCTTCTCTTTATGCTCTGTCTCCCCTCCCTTCCTCAGAGCATCTCTTCTTCTTCTTCTGCTTCCTCCCTCGCTGCTTTTCCTCCTCATTCGTTTCTTTTCATACATTTTTGACTGTCGCACCATTAAATAAACTTTTTGATTCTGTCAAGAGAAGTGAAATAAAACAAAGTCACGACCAGCCGTCCTCCTGTCGTTCCTCCTGTCTGTAGATGAGATCGCCTTCCTGGAGGGGATGACCATCGTGTATAAGAGCAGCATAGATCTCTTCTTCTACGTGGTGGGAAGCGCTCAGGAGAACGAGGTAGGGCATTTAGCTTCCTCTGCCCAGCAGTACTTCTTGTTCTTTATAGAAAGTACAGTAATAAAATGAACATTAAATGTACTTGAGGCACCTGGTCGGGCCTCACAGGAAAGTTTTGTTGTGTTCGTCTGCAGAAGTTAAAGGAAAAGCCTCAATCGTCTTTACTGGCGACAGCGTCTTCAGCGAGTTACTCACATGTGTGCAAAACGGTCATTAAGGCTACTGTGAGAAATCTAAAATCTATTCTAGTTATTTCATATTTTTATTCTCTTTAGTTTTATTCTACAAAGTAGGAAATAATAAAACTACAGACAAACCTTTGGATAAGTGTCCAATTAAAAGCAACAGATTGTGTAATTTCGTATTAGTTCTTTGTAGGTAAAAGGGAAAAAAAAAAATGAATTGCAATAATTACAAAATGCGACTCAACATAGCCTTAAGCTAACGTTAACTATGGAAAATATTAAAGTCAAATTAGAAAAGTAGCAGTACGTTTTAAGTAGTGAGCGGTAAATTAGCCTCTGTACGCTACCTGTCCAGCTTGATAGCACAAATGGACTTTTAGCGACTAGCTAGTTAGCTTGTTAGCTTGTTAGCTGTGACAGCCTTTTTAAAAACATAAGATAATATTGTAATCTAGTAATATATGTGTGCAGTGTTGCTGTCCAATGGTCAAAAAATGATTTAATGCAGAAACACAATCATAGTTAAATGCTTGTGTTGCTTCGTGTTAGCTGGTTAGCTGGTTGAGTTAGCCGTTCAACGTGTTAGCCACTTCACGAGGCCTTTACATGTCATGTGTCCCTTTTGCTTGTTGATATCATAAAAACCTGCTGAATGCTGCTTTATAATGACGTCTTATCTCATTTATTGGTTGTTGTTGTTGTTCTCTTGCTAGCTGATGCTGATGTCGGTCCTCAACTGTATGTTTGAGTCCCTCAGTCACATCCTCAGGTACGTTCTCTCACTCAGGCTTCACTGGTGGTCATGAAAAGCACCTTATCTTTAAAAAAACAAACCAAAAAGTCCAGAACGACACCATTTACCAGAGCTAGGAATCATGTGTGCTGTTCCATCAGAACAATGAACCAAATCTGAGTTTAAAATATTTTATTACATTTAATATATTCTACATTTAATAATGTGCTCCTAACACATCGCTTGCACGGATCAGATTCTGTAAAGCTAAATAATTCTGTGCTCCGTGGTGCATCTGAAGAGCCTCAACTGTGACCATCAGTCACCTGGTTAATATTCTGGGACTAGTCGACTGAACTGCTGGTCGTGTTGACACAGAGCAGATAGAAATAAATAAGAAAATGTAAGTCGTAGCATATCTATAGGATGCAGAGCCACCATTTGTTCTCGTATTTATATCACCTGTAGCCAGAGTCCAGCATGTTGATTGTATTTAGAAAAACAAACAAAAAAAACAGCTTTAGTCAAATAACTAATGAAAGAAATTCAGTTTCAGGATTTTAAATGATTTCTCGTTCTTTGTCGTCCTGCACACACACGTCCTGGTTCTGTCCCTTCTCGTCGTGGTTCTGCTGTTTCCATCGAGGTGCATCCAGATGAAGCCCAAACTGAGCAGGACTGAGACACACGGATGGTCTCATTGATATGTTAATGATGTTTAGCGTCTACAAAACACGAGCGAACACACAGATTCACCGTTCTGCTCTCCGTGTGGATGCATCCGGGCCTCTGTGGCGCCTCTGAAGCCTCGGCGCTGATGGAAAGTCCTCACGTCGTCCTCGTGGAGCCACTCAGGGAGATAATGAGTCTCCACGTTGAATCCGGTTTAACATTCAGCAGCAGCAGTGTGTACTCGTACACGAGCCGCGATTGTGATTTAATTTGAGGAGCGGTGTTTGACAAACTGAGCGAATGCAGAGCGACGGGAGACACACAGATGAGTTTGCTGAGCCGTCTGTGCGCCCCGATGTGTACGTTGCGCGCCAGGTTCTCTCACTGTTGACTGCAACGTTATTAGCCAAACAGCGGCGGATGTGGTTGCCGTGGTAACCGATGCAGTAGTAATGCAGAGTGTGAGCGACGGAGACATGGAGAGATTATATTATTATACAGTATGACAGATTATAGGCTCTCCTGAGCGGAGCAGCGCGTCGATGCCCATAAGTCAGTGGAGCTGCTCGATTACATGCGACGAATCGTTAAATTAGCTGCATCTCGATCTGAATGAAGGCCTGAGAGGCTGCGATGGAGAGACTGCAGGTGGCTTCAGCAGCCTGTGGTGAACCAGGTGCTGAAGATGTTCGAGTGTAAATGAATCCTTTGACCTCTGAAGCTGCTTCGTGAATCGTCCTCCTGAAAACAAATCGTCAGTAACAGCAGCAGAGGGACGACATGAAACCATCTCAGGCTCTGTGGACAGAAGACTCTGGTGATGAGACGCTCACAGGACCAGATCTGAAAAAGTTCAGCAATAAAAAAAAAAGAAAAGAAAAAACATTTTTACTTCCAACAAAACAAACAGAAAACCTGCAACGTGTCCAGATCTGATGTAGAATAACAGAAATCAAACACTATGAGAGGGTAGATTTGACTATATTTTGCTTTTCTCCTGCAGGAAAAACGTGGAGCGCAGATGTTTGCTGGACAACATGGAGGGCGTGTTCCTGGTGGTGGATGAAATCATCGACGGAGGGTAAAGGAGACGTCTTTAATGTGTTTTTAACTGGATAACGTACGAGCACCTTGTGATTCAGATGAGAAATGTCAGAAGACTAACGTGTTGTGTTGATCACAGGGTGATCCTGGAGAGCGACCCTCAGCAGGTTCTACAGAAGGTCAACTACAGGGTAAGACGACTGGACGTCATCCCCACAGTCTGCCTTTATTTCATGATTTCAAAAGTTAGATTAAAACTGAAGAATGTGGCCTGTTCAGAGCAACTGATAGACTCGCTGTAGCCTCCCACAGCTGCTTCTTCTTCTTCTTCTTCTTCTGTTTTCTTGCCTCCTCTCACCTGCCTCACCTGTCCCTCTCCCCTTCTCCCTGTGTCTCTTGTCCTGATTGGTGTCAGCTAATGTCAGAGCCAGCCTATGGCTTCGTCCTGCTCGATTACATCACCGGTAACCTAGAGGCACAGGCAGACAGGAGCCAGCTGCTGTAGACAGACAGACAGACAGACGGAGGGTGAGAGAGGGAGGGAGACCAGGAGAGTGAATGGATGGATGGATGAGTGAGTGAATGAGGCAGAGACGGTGATGGACGGAGGAGCAGCGAGGTAAATGCATGGTGAGAGAGTGTGCACGCTAACGTAGAGCATCCTGCTGGAGCGGGAGGAAAAGCTAAATAACCACCAAATTCATCCTCTGGGGTTGTGCACAGCGTCCCACTGATCCATTCATTATTCACAGCGATGGACGGACTGACGGACTAACTGTAGAGCTGCACCGCTACACGCTCTAACGCTAGCATGACCGTTAGCCCTCTGAACCCCAAACACAGCTTTAAAACCACGTTATCTGTTAAGAAACACCAACACGATGCCGTAATCAGAGCCACAAACTGTAAGAACAGAACGATTCGTCACATTTTTCAGCTTGGCAGCGACTCTTGACCTGATCAGAGTGAAAGTCGACCAAACCGAAGCTCAAATCAAGATATTACATCAAAATCACCGTATTCTACACGTCTTGTTTGAAAATTTGCAGAAAATAAACCATTTTTAGTCACCAGATGCTACTAAAAAAAACTAATTCTTCGCTCCTCAGAGACTTTTCAGCTGAACTGGGCTGAACTGCAGGCTGTGTTCACAGATATGGACGCAGATTAAAACTCTAAATATCTGATGCCTTCATGCTTTTCCCAGTATTAGCATCACCTGTTAGCTTTTGGAAAAATATTGCACATGTAGTTTTCCTCCAATTTTTCTTAACTAACTAAGAAATGCAGCTTTTTGTTAATATAGTTTTAAATAAATGAAACTTCCTGTTAATATAGTTTCTGGCGCTGTAATTGTGTCCTGCTGCACTAAACACTTCTGCCTCCTCCGGTCCACGCTGTGCTGTGTCTATGGAGCTGCAGGACTTTATCTTTCAGCCCACAGTGAATAGAAATGTGACAGAAGCACAAAATAAAACCAGAACACTCCCAGAAGCTGTTTGGAGTTCAGAAGGTTAACCAGCGTTGTTGGAGTGTCGACTAATAAAGTTTGTACAGATGTGAAGGTGCTGCAGCGCTTCGATTTTTCTACTTTGTGTGTCTGAGTGTAAATATTTGATCTGCGTGTCCTCCTGTGCACACGTTAATGCCGTTTTGTTTTGCAGGCGGATGAGAACCCGCTGACCGAGCAGAGCGTGGCCCAGGTAACACACATGACGCCAGCACAGGAACACATGCACACGCGTGTACAGACGCACTAACACCATGTGGTCATTTCATCGTGTACAGACGATTGTTTCACATGTTTTAACTGATTTTCTGCTCTGAACATGCGTCGTGTTGTGTCAGCAGTTTTATAACACCTCTGACCTACAAACAGTGATTAGATCGGAGCTCGTTAATCTACTGATTATTGATAAGCTATTAGAACTATTCATTCAATGTTTTCTGAGCATCAGGATGACTGTGTGTTGTTCCTGCTGTCCACAGAGGAAGTGTTGGACCATGTTTAGGTCACAGGTTTAGTCAGAGCTGATGTGTTTGTTTACTTTTATTGATCCAGTTTTCATGTAAAGACCCAACAGAACCGGGTCACAGTGTTAATATCCATCCAGTAAAGCTCACAGTGAAACACAGCTGATTGATCTCCTGCATGTCCAGCTCAGCTCTGTCCTTCCTGCTTCCCTCTGACGCCTCTAACACAGAGCAGCTCCCACTCTGAGCTAAACACACCTCAGAGCTCTGACAGCTGTAACATCTGTCTGCACATGTAGGAAGCTGCCTGCTCACACTTTAGCTCTCAGTGCATGCTAACGTAGCGGCTAGCTCGCTGAGGTGAACGCTCCAGACGTGGAGCTCGTTAAACACTGACGTTCTCCTTCCTCCCTGAGCTGCTGTGTGCAGGACTGAACATGTGCTGGACCTGTTTGTGCGCTGGCTTGCAGGAGGTCGTGCGTTTGTCTGCTCACGCTCTAAGTTTCTGTTTTCTGTTGCTTTAACCCTCACAGCACCTAACAGAGAAACTGGCTCTGACCACTAACGTAAGTTCTGCTGACGTCCCCACAAACCTTCACACCACACACTGATTATACAGTAGGGCTGTGACGGTACCGGTGTCCAGCCCAGACCACTGGGGGTTCAGTTCTGGATGGGTTTGGTAAAGCTTGTGGTCCAAACTGTTATTGTCAGAACCTGTTTATATCTAACGTTTGTGCTCCTGAATAGAAACTCTAGTTGGAGTTATTTATCCAGGTCGAGGAGGTCAGGGTAAAAAAAATAAAATAAAAAGGACTACAGGAGATGTTCTACTTGCAATACCACAACGGACCACTGGGGCAGACTGGTAGCAATTCACACATCTGTGCTGTAAACGTCAGCACCAGGAAAAATAAATAAAAATAAATAAAAATAAAAAAAAACAATAAAAATGAAAAAAAATGTTTTAAAAAAATAGGAGAAAATTTAAAATAAAAAAAACAAAAGAAAATAAAAATAGTATTTTTAATTTTATTTATTTGTCTATATTTCTACTTTTGTCAGCCTTTTTTTTTAATGGATTCATTTTTGATTAATATTGCTTTATATTACCACATTATTTATTTAATTTTTAGTTTATTTATTCTTCTTTTTATTTACTTTACTTTTATTTTATTATTCTTTTATTGATTTAAAACTTTTTTTTTATTATTTGTTGCTCTCATGGCTCCGTAATAAACTACAAAGTGAAAATACATTAGAAATCTGAATCTGTAACTTTCCAGATGCGTGTAATTGAGTAAATGTACTTAGTTACTCTGCTGGTGTGGATCAGAACCACCCAGATCCTCCATAAGGCTTTCTCACAGCACTTAAACTGTTCTGAGTGGGTCTGACTGCATTTCCCAGAATGCTCCACTGTTACCTGGGACTATTAACTGAGCACCATGCGCCACCTGCTGTCAGACTGAGGAACAACATCCTCACTGCTCACCACGTAGTAGCTGAAAACCAAACGGTGCAAACTTTATAAGAAATGGATGAAACTTTAATGAAACTCTGGGGGGATAAACTCCATTTAGAGGAAATAATTCAATAGTTAAAAGATGACATTTAATTGCATTTTAGAAAATATAGAATTTAAGTACAACAGCTGCAGACATGTGTAAAAAGGCGTCTGACTCGCTGTGTTTTTAAAAAAAACTTCTAGGTAAATAAAAATGACCTGTTTCGGTCCTTTCTGAACAACAGGTGTTTAGTCTTTATTGCTGCTGTTTCTAACATGGCGGCCTGAACCTCTGAGCATGCGCTCAGTCTGACCTCTAGTGGCCGGACGGTGGTACTGCAACACCATCCAGACAGAAATACTCTAAATATTATCATCACAACAAATAATACAGACAGCTCATTAGCTAGTAAACATGCAAACTGCTTAATTAACTGTACATCAGGTCATTATAGTGGCACTAGATAGGATATTATTAATTATTATTATGGGATTGCACACTGATGAGTAAAACATTTTAACATTCGAACATGTTGTGTCCCATTCAGCACCTGCAAACAGCTTAACATCTTAACTCTATGCAACATAACCTAAAAACAGCTTCTGATTGGCTCATTTAAACTCCATCTATTCTGACTGCATCCATGATTTAAAGTCTAACAAATTTGCACTGTTTTCCTCGTTAAATGCTTCTTTTACTGGATCACATGTCATATTTACTGGAGTTTATTTCAGTCTAATGTTCTGTTTTTGCTGTCAGTATTTTTCATGTGTGCTTGTTGTGGTCTTTCTGTTTCCAGGTCCTGCAGTCGGCCAAGGAGCAGATCAAATGGTCCATCCTGAAATGATTGTCCAGGAAACTCTAGACACCCTGTCAAGCCCAAACTGATTTGTTTTATAGGCCAAACTAAAGGGAAGTTCTTTACTTACTGTCTGTTTGCCAACAGGCTGCTTTAGCAGTGATTAACCGGCCAGTTACAGGAGGTTTTATTTTAGGTTTTCTATGTGTGGTGATGACATTTTGTTGTTTTGTGTGTGAAGTGTGTTTAATTTATTTAATTTAGGAGTGACGCTCGCCTGCACACATTTAGCAGGTCAGATGACACCCAGGGCTTTAACGTACAGGCCCGGCCATCACCCAGCACCGGACCTACCAGTACCAGTACCAGAAATCTGATTAGTGGTCTAGAGGAGAGGATTGTCCACTCGTAATCATATGACGGTACCATTTATCTGAGTTGTTCTGCAGATTTGTGACCTACATATATGCAGATTATTAGCATTTATTTGTCCCTTTAAATATGTTACATATCCAGATAATTTAAAATCATCTTGTTACAGCATTTACAGACACACACGGTTATTTCCTGGATCTGTTGTTATTGGTGAATCGGTTCACATTCAGACCAATAAGAGAGAAACTCCGGCACCAGCGTCCCATAAAGTGATTTAAATCTCATCACTAACGAGCTCGGTGCTAAATTCAAACTGACATCATTAGTGCACTAAAGTTTAATTAAGAATAAAAGGTTGTGTTGTTCTGACTGTGCCCTCAGATCACAGCAACGTGTTCTGTAAAGTTTATCTAAAGACTGTAGAGGAATGTAAAGACGCTTTATGACACTAAGCAGAGAGTGTAGGATGCATCATGTTACTGCTGCACTCAGCTGAAGCCTCTCGTTTAGACGTTTAAATGAATATCTGTACATAGAAATGAACTGTAGAGTTAAAACAAAAAGAGCTGCACCACAATGTGTGGCCAGGGTTACAAAGAATAATAATAACGTCTATTTTACTGTTACGAGGAGAATTAGAGATGTTCATAGATATTAAATATTTTCTTAGTTTATAAAGAGAATTAAAAAATAAAAAAGCCAAAGACAAACGAATTATTTTGTTTACATTTGGATGCTGCTGAAGCAAATCGGTATTTTGTGTCTGCTTTTGTGAGGCTGATAATAAAACTGTACATTTGTTCTGGTTTTAAAACCTCTCTGTTGTCATTTATTATTTTTATTTTATTAAAATAAAAAACAATTATTTTTCAGTACGTTTTCATCAGAAAAAGTCTGAAATCTTTCACCAAACGGAGCAAAAACAGTCAGAATATGAACAGCAGAGCCGTTTGCTCTCTGAGCCAATCAGAATTCAGAATCCACGAGCCTTATGAATATTAATGAGCTCAGTGACACGTTTCTGGTCTGTGGGTGTGGCCAGGGATGTGATTGGTGGAGTCTAGGCGACGTCAGTAGTCACGTGCCTGCACCGCCTCAGCCAATGGTTCGTTCTGGTTCTAATCCCTGTGATGTGATTGGCTGCCTGCCTCACGGTCCTGCATCAGGTCCAGAAACACAAGAGATGAGTTTAAGGCTGAATGTTGGATTAAATGTTCGACCAGAGAACAGAACCTGATCAGAACTTTTAGTTTTTATGTTAAATATATTAATGGCAATGATTATTATTATTATAGATAAGTAAATACTACGTATTTTAATAAGTAGTATTAAAATATAGAATCGCCTCTTTCTTCCTAATGTGGCTCATCTTAGTTTTAAAAACATATTGAATTATTATTGGCGTAATTAATATACAGAATTAAAAAAAAAAAAAATCAACTCTTATTTTATTTCGGCAGTTATGTTATTGATGGTATTGATTTTTTTTCCAAATCCATGAGGTATCTGAATATCTCGGAGGACCCCTAAACTCATCCTCTCCTTCCACCATTTGTGACAGCACGTGATGTTTTATTTGTTATTTGTTTTGTTGTTGTTTATTTCATGTTTTGTCCTGATATGGGAGCCGTGAAATTAGAATAAAATGCCATAAACACATCAGCATCATTTACTGATGTGACAAAAAAATAATGAACTCGAGGGTGAAAAGGAAAATAAGTTTCAGGAAAACGAAAAACAAACACATTTCCTATAAAAAAACCTCATTAATGTGATGATCCGCGTCTCCTGATCCTCTCCTCTTCTGTCTCCTCCAGACGAGATGAGGTCACACCGCCCCCAGTGGTCACATAATGCCACATTGCTTCACACATGCGCACATCGCCCGGCTAGCTCAGTCGGTAGAGCATGAGACTCTTAATCTCAGGGTCGTGGGTTCGAGCCCCACGTTGGGCGAGTTGATTTATTTTGATTTATCCTCAATAATTAGTCACAGAGCGTTGATTAAACACATGGACTTAGTGAAGGAGTTTAGATGTTTACCACCTCCAACACTTCACTACAAGCTCTGATTAATACTTTTTATTTTATATCAGTTAACAGGACAATAACCCTCCATATGTGATTGGTACAAATATGTATGTAATGTAAATGTAAATTGTATTTTATTAAGCACTGATTTACAAAACATTCAATCTGTCTGTATATAAATAAAGTGAATAAACTTGGACTTTTCACCCCCTTACATATACACACCCAGTACTCTCCTTGCTGACATCTGAACTCCTGACTGTCCTCACTGCCAAAGCTTCCTTTCTTTCCTTTCTCTGGGTACTTTTTTTATTTTTTGGTCAATATATTGATGCGTATCAGTCTCAGCAGAAACTGAATTTGAGTCTTGTAATTTTAATTTGTACTGTTTGACTTGAAAAACTGAAATTCATATTTAAATTTAAATCATATAATCCGTATTTATTAAATTGAAAGTGTGCTCCAATAAACCTGAACCCAGATATAACAGTTAGGAGCTGAATTCTGTTCTCTGAAATTGCATTTAAACATCACTGAAAAATTCTAAATTGGCTCCAAAATGTCTTTTCGGATCCCGTCACCACATCCGGGTCTCTGAGGACGAGCAGTGGAGCACCGATCCACCGATCAGCGCCTGTTCTGGGACACATGGATGAAGAACGAGCCTCCTGCTGTTACCGTCCACAAATGAAGCCTGAATGCGGATCTGTGCCGGTGGAGCCTCGTTATGGAGTCCTGCAGCCACCACTGAAGGAGTTTCTCCGTAAGTTTGTGTTTAAGCTAATCAGCTGTTAGCTAGCTAGCTAACTACGGGCAGGCTGATGAGAGCCGTGTGGAGACAAGCAGGTGGCGGCTGTTAAAAGAAATAAAAAATAATCATAACAAATTAAAACTAATTAAATGGTTCTGCTGGATTTGGACTGGAGTTAGAAACCCGCCCTGCAGTAGATCTCCATCACTGATGGAGGACTGATGGAGGACTGTGAGTGTGGAGGTCGTGGGTTCGGTTCCCGCTCTGGGTTCGCTCCGTGTAGCGCTACTTCAGAGAACAGAACTAAAATCTGAACTATTACATTCAGTTTGAAGTTTACTGGAGTACAGTTTCAGTTTAACAAATACAAACTGAAGTCACATTTTGATTTCAGTGATTCAAGTTGAGCAGAACAGATTCTAATGTTCTGACTGAGGTTCGGTTTCAGGTGAGGTGGGTCTGTTTCCATAGCAACAGCGAGCAGCACAAACCCAGCAGAAGAGTTTTAACCGCACAGTCCTGTCTGCGGGCAATAGATGAAAAATATCTAAATATAAAATAAATCATTTAACAGTCATACTGCGCATTATTTCTGTTTAAACATGTGAATAAGTTCTATGAAAAGCTCTCCTGGTGAAAAACTTCAGTGTTTAACTTCTTGAAATGTGCAGTTAGATGCGATAAAGCTCCACAGGCTCAGCTGGATAATTACTAAATGTGCGTTATGTTAAACTGAAATAACTATAATACCGTTATTGTCAGCGAGGTGCTGTATGAGGACCGGAACCATGAACCGTGTAGAGCAAACTGTCACGTGTATTTATTATACACAGACTGTAAATATCACTGTAGAACCTGGGCTGGGTTCCATGTTGTGGTCCTGTCAGGTTGGGTTTGTAGCCCGGCTAGCTCAGTCGGTAGAGCATGAGACTCTTAATCTCAGGGTCGTGGGTTCGAGCCCCACGTTGGGCGATGAGCTTTTAACTGATGAAGGCAGAGTGAATAGTAACAGGAGTTTTATTACTAAAGCGTTATGATTCAGGAGTTTCTAGAAACGCTCCGTGATGACAGATACACAAATAAATACTCCATCAGTACAGGTGTATTTATACTACATCCGTAAGTCAGTTTTTGCTCCACTTCCTTGGTTCTTTTTCTTCCGGTTGTTTTTTTCTTCTGCCGGTTCCGGGCCCTTTGTTATTATTAACTTTTTTTTTTGGGGCCTTTTTCAAGGCATTTTTTAAAAAAAGTGCTTTTCAATAAAAACATTTATAGATTTTGTATTTTTATTAAAGTTGGAAGGCCCCCAATTGGGGCGGGAGGTTTTAAACTTTAATTAAATTCTTGAAAGGTTTTCGATTAAACATGTGTGTTAAGAAGTGACTTAACAGAGAGCACAGAATCAGCTGACCTGAGAGCCTCGGCCTGAAAATGCTCTGTTGCCCTTCAGCCGGGCCTCTGGGGCAGTTAACAGACCTTTGCCCGAGGATCATAGGGAGCGTGGTGGAGAGTACGGAGTTAAAAGGTCGGCAATGTAAACAGGACAGAGACCATTGAGCAGCTGATGTGATGTTCCTCCTCCTGGTTAAAGCCTGGAAATATATCTGTAGTAGTGATACAGGTGTGTGTGTAGGTCTG